AGAATCAGAACCTAAGTTTGAGATTCTTTGGACCATTTCTCATTATTGAGAAGGTTGGAGCAGACGCATATAAACTGTTGCTTCCCCCTACAATAAAGATACATTTGATTTTTCACATTTCCCAGTTAAAACTTTGCAAAGGAGACCATTCCAAACCTTATTGATATGAATCTCAGTAGCACAAGGGATGATTTAGGATCTTTAGGGTTAGAACCTTGTAGGAAATTTAAGAATTTAGTGATAAGGTGCAAGGAAAGAATCACTCTTCCCAAAGGAGACAATTCACAAAAGATGTGAAAATTCTTTGATACAGCCAAGTGTTCTGGAATCACTCAAGAATTTAGAAGAATCACTCTCACCAAGATAAAAGAGCTAAACTTTAATATTTTTAAATAAAATTCAACTTGTTATATTTGATAAAAATATGGTTCAGCCTATATAGAAGCTTTGCTATCAGAATTACAAAGATTCAATCAAGGAAAATAAATGCTAATAATGATTCATTAACCTAGGAATTGAAAACTACTTAATGGAGACAAATAAAGGCTAATAATGATCAATTAACCTAGGAATTGATACTACTTAATGACTTGTAACTGAAATTGTGGCAACCAAAAGTCAATCAGCTATGCACCCTCTTGGTCTCCCAAAGACTGATGACTAAGTTTCCAATTGGCCCCTTATTACAACTAGCAATAAAACCAAACTAAAGTCCATTAATTGATTAATCCAAAACACAATTTGATCAACCAACAATACTTATTGAAGAGATTCCTTTGCTTCCCTTGCCCTAGCCCTTGTCATAGGTCATATCCACATCATTCTCTCCCTCTTGAAAATGATTTATCCTCAAATCGGATTCGTCATCTACATATAAAAGAGATAAGTCTGACAAATTGAATGTAGAACTAACATTATACTCACTTTTTGTGGCTAAATAACTCTCTCACTTCAAGTGTTTCACTCTTCTTTTGATCACTCATTTTCTTCTCAAGTGTTTCACTAACACTTTCTTTTTCTCTCTTCTTTTAATGAAGTTTTTCTCTCATTTTCTTTTTATCCTCACACACTTCTTGTGAACTCAAAGGTTTGAGCACAATCTTCTTGTCTTGGTGCATGAAAGAGATCTTGTTGGTGAACCCGTTATGATAAACTCTTTTATCAAGTTGTCACGGTCTCCCTAAAAGTAAGTGACTGGCCTCCATAGGAATAACATCACAAAGTACTTTATCATTGTATTTTTCAATGAAAATGTTCATTTCAACTTGCTTCTTCACTTGCACATCTCCATCCTTACTAAGCCATTGAAGTTTATAAGGCCTAGGATGTGGTTTAGTATGTAAATTTAGCTTTGACACTAATCTAGCATTAGCCACATTGGTGCAACTACCTTCATCTATGATCATCATGTACACCTTGTCATTGATTAAACATCTAGTGTGGAAAATGTTTTTTCTTTGGCTTTCTTCCCTAGGCTTCAATTGCTCATTAAGTAATCGCCTAATCATCAATAAATCTCCCTTTGGAATCTCCTCCTCTTCAACCTCAGATTCATTTATATATTCTCCCTCTCTAAGAACTATAGACCTTTTGTTAGGGCACTCATAAGCATAGTGTCCTAGGCTTTGACATTTGAAACACTTCACATCTTTACTTCTTTTAGAGGGTTGTTCTTCAGACTTTGAAGGAGTTTGTGTAGAAATAAGTGTGGAACTACTAGAAGTAACAACCCCATCTTTCTTGCCTTTGTCCTTCCAACTTGAAGATCCAAAGTTAGTAGAACTCTTCTCAGCCACTTCTTTTCTTTTGAGTTGTTGCTCCACTCGAATTGCTTTATGAAGTAAATCCTCCATATCAACAAACTCCTGCAACTCAACAATATCACATATATTAATATTCAAACCATCAATAAATCGACCCATAGTTACCTCTTCATCTTCTTCAATCTTTGCTTGAATCATGAGCATGTCCATTTCCTTGAAATACTCCTCAATCCCCTTGTTGCCTTGAGTGAGTTTTTGGAGTTTAAATTTCAAGTCCTTTGAATAACTAGCCGGCACATACCGCTTCCTCATGATCCTTTTCATCTCAACCCATATATCAACCATTGGCTCTTCATTTCTACCTCTCTTCTTTTGTAGCTTGTTCCGTGATTGCAAGTCTCACCTTTTGGGTCTCCTCATAATTGTTGCATGAGAAAACATGCTCTATTTTCATCTCTCATTCCAAATATGCCTTCGGATCACTTTTTCCTTTGAACAGAGGAATGCTAAGCTTGACTCCTTCAAGCCTACTTGGTCTTGCTACTCCATCATTCCTTCTCCTATTTCTCCTTTCTTCATCTTCGAGATCTCTATTCTCCAACAGGTTCAATCTTTCATGGTGTTCATTGTTATGTCGTATCATTAATCCTTCCAAATGTTATACCAATGCCCTAATTTGAAATGGACTACTTCCTGCTTCTTGATTGTTATTTTCCTCCTCTGCCATCAATTTGATGTTCAAACCCTTAAACCGAGGCTCTGATACCAACTGATATGAATCTCAATAGCACAATGGATGATTTAGGATCTTTAGGGTTAGAACCCTGTAGGAAATTTAGGAATTTAGTGATAAGGTGGAAGAAAAGAATCACTCTTCCCAAAGAGGCAACTCACAAAGGATGTGAAAGTCCTTTGATACAGGCAAGTGTTCTTGAATCACTCAAGAATTTAGGAGAATCACTCTCACCAAGATAAAAGAACTAAACTCTAATATTTTTAAATAAAATTCAACTTGTTTTATTTTATAAAAATATGGTTCGACCTATATAAAAGCTTTGTCATCGAATTACAAAGATTCAATAAAGGAAAAAAAATGCTAATAATGATTCATTAACCTAGGAATTGAAAACTAATTAATGGAAACAAATAAAGATTAATAATTATCTATTAACCTAGGAATTGATATTACTTAATGACTGATAACTGACATTGTGACAACCAAAAGTCAATCAGTTATACACCCTCTTGGTCTCCCAAAGACTGATGACTAAGTTTCCAATTGGGTCCTTATTACAACTTGCAATAAAACCAAACTAAAGTCCATTAATTGATTAATCCAAAACACAATTTGGTCAATCAACAATACTTGTTGAAGAGATTCCTTTGCTTCCCTTGCTCTTGCCCTTGTCATAGATTATATCCACATCACTTATGTTCCTTGCCATTCACTGACAGTGAGAGCCAACCGGTGATCTAACCAGAGAAAATTTTGCAGCAAAGGATGATTGTTCGAGGACAGGAGAAATCCAACAACACTTGATTGTTTGGGAAGGTTCAAGCCACTTGGGAAGATGATGCAACTTTACAATAAGCATTTCCATATCTTAACCTTGAGGACAAGGTTAATATTAAAGGAGGGGGTATTGTGTCAATTGCTGACGACAGAAATCGAAGGGACATTAAGTTGTCAAAAAAGGAAACATAGGAGGTAATCAAAGGGAAATTCCACGGCCGAATAACTTGTGAGGTGATATGAATCACAAGGGGTAATTTAGGATCTTTAGGGTTAGAACCTTGTAAGAAATTTAGGAATTTGAAAGAAGGTGGAAGGAAAGAATCACTCTTCCCAAGGGAGGCAACACACAAAGGATGTGAAAGTCCTTTGATACAGCCAAGGGTTCTTGAATCACTCAAGAATTTAGGAGAATCACTCTCACTAAGATAAAAGAGATAAACTCTAATATTTCCAAAAATAAAACTCAACTTGTTATTTCTGATAAAAATGGTTCAGCTTATAAAGAAGCTTTGCCATCAGAGTTACAAATATTTATTAAAGGAAAATAAATGCTAATAATGATTTATTAACCTAAGAATTGAAAACTACTTAATGATTGATTATAACTGAAATTGTGGCATCCAAAAGTCAATCAGCTATGCACCCTCTTGGTCTCCCAAAGACTGATAACTAAATTTCCAATTGGGCCCTTATTACAACTTGCAATAAAACTAAACTCAAGCCCATTAATTGATTAATCCAAAACACAATTTGGCCAACCAACAATATTTGTTGAAAAGCTTTCTTTGTTTCCCTTGCTCTAGCCCTTATCATAGGTCATGTTCACATCATTCTCTCCCTCTTGAAAAGGATTTGTCCTCAAATCGGATTCATCATCTACATAAAAAAGAGATAAGTCTGATAAATTGAATGTAGAACTAACATTATACTCACTTTTTATGGCTAAATAGCTCTGTTTCACTTCACGTGTTTCACTCTTCTTCTTTTTTTCTTTCTTTTCTTGAAGAAATTTTTCTCTCATTTTCTTTTTATTTTCCTTCAAACCTTTAAACCGGGGCTCTGAATACCAACTGATATGAATCACAAGGAGGTAATTTAGGATCTTTAGGGTTAAAACCTTGTAAGAAATTTAGGAATTAGAAAGAAGTTGGAAGGAAAGAATCACTCTTCCCAAGGGAGGCAACACACAAAGGATGTGACAGTCCTTTGATACAGCCAAGGGTTCTTAAATCACTCAAGAATTTAGGAGAATCACTCTCACTAAGATAAAAGAGATAAACTCTAATCAAAGGGAAATTCCACGGCCGAATAACTTGTGAGGGGAAGGAAAATAATCAAAGTGAGAAGGATAACAGAGAATCAGAATTTCGGGGAAGGAAACTTACCACATGCATAACCACTATGTCACATAATCGCTTAATTTAACGTTGTTTTTCCTCTCCCTCACTTTTCCTTTATGCTCCTATTGAATGATCTTTCTCCACGTGTCCCTGGGGCTTAACTAACTCTGCCTTTTGTTCCCGCTCCTCACCCCATTTGTTACACGTTTCAGCGGCCTATCAACAAAATTATATGTTGAGTTAATGTTTTTGTATCAAGTAGAAATTTAGAACGAATGGAACCATTCTAATGATGTTACAATAAAATTATTCTAAATTATTTATTTCAAGCAAAGATTGTAGTATATGCAGAAAAATTTGTGTGAGAACTTCTCCAATCTCATGTTGATACTTATTGTTGTACTAATAGTTCATGGTACATATGTCAGGGCGTATCTTGTACCATATGTAAGTATTCGAGTGCGATGTGTCTGTGAGAATGGTGCCCATTTTACTTGCCTCCATCTGTTTAAAGTTTCATGATGTTTAGAAAGTGTAATTTATATCTCCACACCCTTCACTCTTTATTTTTGTGTATTCAGGTTTATATTTAAACTGTATATCAGGATTTGGTTTAAGAATCATATATGTTTAGTTCTTAATTATTTTAACCTGAAAGATTACAATGCATAAGAATTGTAAGTTTTCTGATGTTGAAGACTTGACGATACTCATTATTCCTATCATGCCAGACTCATCTAGATGCAAGGACTTTCCGTAGTAGAGTCTTTGAGAACTATGATCAATTCTGCATTATCTTTGGCAATGAGCCTTTGCATTGGGATGAATCTGAGCCTTGTGATGCAGTTAACTATGATATCAATGTTAGAGATCCAGGAAGGCAAATGAGGTGGACAAGTGACATGGACAGCTGTTTAAGTGCAATCCTTGTGCAGCAAATAAAACAAGGCAATAGAAGTGAATTTGACTACAAATTGAGACCTGCTGCCTTAGAAGCATCTGTGTTGGCTATTAATGAAAAGTTTCAGCTTTATTTGACCAAAGAACACGTGAAAAATCGTCTTAAAACCTGGAAGAAACAGTATGATATTCTGAAGGAACTTATGAACCAAAGTGGCTTTGAATGGGATGAGAAGCGAAAAATGATCATCGCAAATGATTCTGTTTGGAATGAATATATTAAGGTACTTATAAACTACTTTTAATTTCTCTGACATTTGTTATTGCATAATATCATTCTGAAACTTCTAACATGTGTACCTTTCTGGAGCAGAAAAACTCTGATGCTCGGCTCCTTAAAGGACGAGTTATCAGAAACTATAATGAATTGTGCATAATTATAGGTCATTGTGATCCACATAGTCCCATGAATGGTTCTTGTGCTATGACTACTGACAATGGTGTTATGGAGGTTCAAGAGACAAACTGCCGTAGAACCAACTATGCAAAAGAAAAAGGAAAGAATGTGACATGGACAGATGAGATGGATAATTTCTTGACGGAGTTGCTAATCAATCAAGTAATGTTGGGAAACAAACTTGAGAAAAATTTCAAGACCTCTGCATACATAGCTGTTCTAACTGTTCTAAATGAGAGATTTAGCCTGAATATAACAAAAGAAAACATTATAAGCCGATTGAACACATGGAGGAAACAGTATGGCCTTTTGAAGGAAATGCTCTGTCAAGGGAGTTTTGAGTGGGATGAGGAATGTAAGATGGTAGTTGCAACCGACTTAGAATGGAATGAATACATTAAGGTATATTTAATTTTACTTGAAATTAATGTCAAAGTTATTTTTTATTATATTCATTTGCTATTGCAGTACTTAGGTAGCTCCTAATTGGTTATCAAGTTTAGGCCATAACTCCAGTGATATGGTGATAAACTGCAACCATTTGTTACCCCACCTAGTCACTTCAAGCTGCTTAAATTTAACCAGAGACCCATCATAAAATAATAACTAACAAAATTCACCAGCATCCGGTAGGTGTTATTTAGTGTTTATTGTATGATTAGTTGGTTGGTTTCATTTGCTATCAACTACAACCACAGCTTGTTGCACTTTTATCCCGTTGCAGTGCTGAACAACAATGTTTTTCTTATTCATCCTTGGCCTGTGTTTATTCAGAAACATCCGGATGCTAGGCATCTGAGAGACCGGAGATTAGAGAACTTCCATGAATTAGGTATGATTGTTGGCAATGAGCAAGGAAGTGGAAATTGGTCCGAAAACTTTGAGGGGTTTGACGTTAATCTTACACCTAACTATGAAGAACATGCAGAAACTCCAGCACTGGTGATGGCTAATGCAGGGATTAGCCACGGTGATAATGCAAGTGATGAAGTGCAGGGCTCATCTGAGCAAACAAGGGCGAGGCCTTCATCATCACAATCACATTCAGATCAACCATCCAAAAGAAGGCGCACTGGTGATGTTATGCTACAAATGATGAGTGTTATGGCCGCAGATATCAGTCGGATAGCTGATGCATTGACTGAAACTAACAAGACAGTGTGCTTGGAGGAAGTTGTGGAAAAGGTACAAAATATGCCTGACTTTGATGATGATCTCATCATTGAAGCTTGTGAGTATTTATGTTTTGATGAGAAGAGAGCATTGATGTTTTTGAAATTAGATGAGAGATTAAGGAAAAAGTGGTTGTTGAAACGATTGCGAGGTCAATAAGGTAGTTAAACAGATTTTTTTTTTTTTTTGTGTGTATGTAGGTAGTTAAAAAAATAGATGGTCCATGATGTTTTTATGAGTTTGTTCTTGGCATATACTTACTCTAGGTATCCCTAGTTTAGGTTGTCACTTTATGTGATAGGAAACTAGCATTAAGGGGAAGTGGGAAAAAGTTATGGAATGACAAGGTGCTCCAACTTTCCTTCATCTGATTTTTGTTTATTACCTTGTACTTTCTTGGGCAACAACTTCTCATCATCATTATTACGATGGGGTCTGATTTACTTTATAGAGTAAATGTCCCTTAATACAGCTAGATTTTTTGTGGGGTTTCCCTCATGTTTTCTTTCAAGAGGATATCCAGTTTGAGAAGCAAGGAATGTCTGTGCCTCTTTAGCTCATTACATGCAGGGTTTAGTTCCCTTTTCTGCCAGATTTTATGTAGACAAAATTAATGTGAATAGAAAGAGTGAATCAATATATTGTTAGAAGTATGTTTGAAAAGATTAATTTTAAAGATTTCAGTTATTTTAGGGACAAAACAATTATTTGCAATTTCAGTTGTGTATTTGATACAACAATTAACATTTGTAAGATGATGTTTTTTTTTTTTATGAAAATGTAACTGATTTTATAAATATGAATAATTTATAATACCTTTTTTTAAATTATAGCATAAATTTAAATTTGATTTGTGTTTAGTGTAATTTTTTCTTTTATATTATTATTTAATATTTAATTTCGTACTACAATTTGACTGAGGAAGTTTCAGATCTCAACTGATTATTATTTTAGTCAAGCTCTTTCAATGAGAACATAATTTTTTTAGAATATAGCATAGATATTCTCTACTTATGTGACTCTAGTAGAAAACATTCGCAACATGATAAAAACCCTAGTATTTATGTATTTATTTGAAGCATATTTATATAACTTTTTGTTATTGGTAGAAAAATTATTGAATTATATGTGGCAATTCTTCAAAACGTTAAATAAATATTTATATTGTACTATTTGATCCGTGTGTAAAAATTTTGAGCGAAATTATCTTGATGTCAATTTTTACAATAAATCTTGAAAAAAAAATTACAATTTCAAATGTAACTAAGTCCAATTTTTTTAAAGCATCAAATTAATATTATTTTTCTCAGCCTATCGATTCAATTGATAGTAATGTTTAGTTAAAAATGACACCATCAATATTTCCAAAATGAAAAGAATAACCGGAGAAGTAATTCACTTAAAAAAAATATCAAACCAAAATTATATATAAATAAATAAACTAAAAAAAAATATCAAACCAAAATTATATATAAATAAATAAACTAACTTGATAATTTAATATGAGAATGATATTTATATATTTCATCATTGTTTAACACTTTATCTCTCTCGATCAAATTTGGTCGGGTATAACATTCCCGAGTATCTCTATTTAACTTAATAAAAATCTCTCTTTTCTTTCCAACTCATGACCTATATATTAGATATTCTATTATAGATTAGTTTTGGATTAATCCCTACCTCGATGACAATGTTTTCTATATTTTAAATAAGTGGTAGTTGTTACCTTGCGTTGGAGAAGTGGGTAATGCGATAGAGATAAGTTAGGAGTAATGAGTTCATGTTTTTCACTTTCTGGTTACTTTGCATCTTTCAAAGGTCGGTCCTATTTCATTGTTAATGACAACCTCTCACAAGATTAAATGTAGTAGTCTGACTCGCAAATGCTTGGAGGCTCCAAAGAAACTTGTGATGTAATCGACGTCTCTAATGTCATTGGTTGTGTATTCGGAGTGTTATCGGTATGCTGCAGAAAACATTTTGATGCTCAAGTTAGTTAAAGAATATTGATGTGGAAAATATTTGTAATAAAAATGAAATGTCTTTAATATTTGAAATCCTCATTTGTTTATACTACTTTAGGTAGTCTTCCCTTATGTGTCCTAACTCCTTGGCCTTATTTAGGCTTATCTATCATTGGTCGTAACTCTAGAGTGTAGAGTGTAGACCTAGTTGCATAACTATAGTATGTTAGAAAAACATGAATGACTAAACATACTCAAAAGGGAGTGAATTGAGTTTGTAAAATATTTTTGAAATCTAATGAATTATTTAAATCTTTTTTTATAATCAAATTGAAAAAGAATTAGAAATGTGTTAAAGTTTAAAAAATACTAAGATAAAGAAAAGAAAGAAGAGGACACAAGATTTTTATACTAGTTCAATTCCTTTGAATCTAGTTATTCAAGTAATCTTAACTTGAATTTCTACTAAAAACTTTTTAGTAATCAGATTACAACATAACCTACAGATCTTAACAACAACACTCTTTAATCAAGATCTAAGAAAAATCACAACACTTGAAAAACGCTAACCACACAATTTTCAAGTTGTCTAGATGTTGTTCACCCCAATTTGATTTTCACAAAATATTTTACATAATCAAAATGTTGCCTTGATGCCCACTAAGACTTTCTTTTTCAATGCTTTGATTATTTCTCAATATGTATTTAATTGATGAAATTTTTCATCCTTTTATAGAGTTGAAATTTGTTACAATTATTCAGATAATCGATTAGTAAATCATCTAATCGATTATTTGTGTATAGTGATAGACAACATTTGAATGGATTAATGATGCGACATAACAATGAGCTCCATGAAAGATTGAATCGGTTGGAGAATAGTGGTCCTAAAGATGAACAACAAAGGAGAAATAGGAGAAGAAATTATAGAGTAGCAAGACCAAGTAGGCTTTAAGGAGTCAAGCTTAACATTTCTTCGTTTCAAGAAAAAAGTGATCCAAAGGCATACTTGGAGTGAGAGATGAAAATATAACATGTTTTCTCATGCAATAATTATGAGGAAACCCAAAAGGTGAGACTTGCAACCACAAATTTTTTTGACTATGCCCTTTGTTTGGTGGAACAAGCTACAAAAGGAGAGAGCTAGAAATGAGGAGCTAGTGATTGATACATGGATTGAGACAAAAAGGATCATGAGGAAGCGGTATGTGCCGCCTACTCAAGGGACTTGAAATTCAAAGTTCAAAAACTTACTCAAGGCAACAAGGGAGTTGAAAAGTATTTTAAGGAAATTGACGTGCATATGATTCAAGCAAAGATTGAAGAAAATGAAGAGATAACTATGACCCGATTTATTGGTGGTTTGAATAATTATATATGTGATATTGTTGCGTTGTAGGAGTTTGTTGAGATGGAGGATTTGCTTCATAAAGAAATTCGAGTGGAGCAACAACTCAAAAGAAAAGGAGTGGTCAAGAAGAGTTCTACCAACTTTTGTTGAACATACAAGGATATGATGCTTGAAGATTTTGATGATGATTCAAGAACAAAGGACTTAAAGACTTATAATCATTTGTATTTACTTGTAATAACTCTGTTTTGTCTTATTGAGTCTGTAAAATTAGATTCCAAGATAGCCAGTACATAGTCTATCCTCTGAAAGTTCATTTTTATCAAAACCACTTTGTGATAATCGATTATCACTCAGGATAAACGATTATCCTGCATTGAATTATGTTTTGTGAAAACCTTGCTGGAATAATTGATTACCTGGGTTGATAATCGATTATCCCAACTGAAATAATCGATTATCAAGCCAAATAATCGATTAGCTTGGTCCTATTTTACTCCTCTGCGAAAATGACTCTGTAATAATCGATTATCACTTAAGATAATCGATTATCTACGTCTGTTATGAGTTTGGAATTTCAAATTTGGACCAATTTACGAAAACTCTTTTTCCAATACTTCAAGTTTCGAAAATCATTATTTCCCAGACCCTATTCTCTCTACTTAAGGTTCTTTAAGACTCTCTGCAAAATAACAATCCTTTTTCATACAAAAGTTAAGAGTTGTGATTGCTAGAGGACTTTGTGTAGGGAAGAAAAATGGGCTTTTGAAAACCTAGTGTGAGCTAGAAGCGATAAGAATCACTGAGTGGGTTTCTTGGTGGATTGTGTGTTGTGCCGTCTCTAGGAAAAACTGTTGTTCATCCTTTGTGGATTCAAAGGAGGTGTTCATCTCTTGTGTGACTCAAGAGAGGTGTTTTCTATTCCTTATCTTTTTCAATTTGTAATCTATTGTAACCTGTAATTATAGTGACAGCGTTAATCCTCTTCTAGAGTGATTAGCAACTGGACGTATGGTCTTTTGATCCGAACCAGTATAAAACACTTGTGTAATCTTCTCATCCTTTCTCTATTTACTTTACAAGTATTTTAATCGGTGAAATTTTGGGAAAATTTTCAAAACCCTAATTTTAATCGGTGAATGTAAATGGAGTTTACGTTCATAAAGATGATGTTCCTCACATGACTGACATTGCTCAAGATTCTGATGATGAGGACATACCTGCTGCTGATGTTCCTGCTGCTGCAACATCATCAGCTGCTCACTTTACATCCCGTCCTCCCATTGAAGACATGTTGTTCAATATGAATAAGAGAATGCAAGAATTCTTTTCTATATCTCAAGAACGACATCAATAAATTATAAGATGAATTTCGGATGTGGACGAATGTGTATGTAATCTAGAAGATAAATTTGATGCACAATTCAAGAGTGATGAGAGTGAAGAGTTTTAATTCTTTTATCTTGTTTGTACTATATTGCATTATTGAATAAAATTTTATGTTTGCATTGATTGAGGGGGAGCTTTTATTTCTTTTGATAATAATCAAAATAGGGGGAGAAAATATTTTAAAGTCTGATATGTTTAACAATATTAATGTTTCCTGGTATGTTTAATAGTTTTGTTAGTTGTGACAGTAAAAACAGGTTATTAACAAAGGGCTTTAAAGCAAATTTTGATCATCATAAAAAAGGGGGAGATTGTTGAACATACAAGGATATGCTGCTTGAAGATTTTGATGATGATTCAAGAATAAAGGACTTAAAGACTTGAAGACTTATAATCATTTGTATTTACTTGTAATAAATCTGTTTTGTCTTTTTGAGTCTGTAAAATTAGCGTCCAAGATAGCCAGCACATAGTCCATCCTCTGAAAGTTAATTTTTATCAAAAATCACTCTGTGATAATCGATTATCACTCAGGATAATCGATTATCCTGCATTAAAATATTTTTTGTGAAAACCTTGTTGAAATAATCGATTATCTGGGTTGATAATCGATTATCCCAACTGAAATAATCGATTATCCTGGTCCTGTTTTACTCCTCTACGAAAATGGCTCTGTAATAATCGATTATCACTTAAGATAATTGATTATCTACGTCTGTTATGAGTTTTGAATTTCAAATTTGGACCAATATACGAAAACTCTTTTTCCAATACTTCAAGTTTCAAAAATCATTATTTCCCAGACCCTATTCTCTCTACTTAAGGTTCTCTAAGGCTCTCTGTAAAATAACAATCCTTTTTTATACAAAAGTTAAGAGTTGTGATTGCTAGAGAACTTTCTGTAGGGAAGAAAAAGGGGCTTTTGAAAACCTAGTGTGGGCTAGAAGCGATAAGAATCAATGAGTGGGTTTCTTGGTGGATTTTGTGTTGTGTCGTCTCTAGGAAAAACTGTTGTTCATCCTTTGTGGATTCAAAGGAGGTGTTCATCTCTTGTGTGACTCAAGAAAGGTGTTTTCTAATCCTTATCTTTTTTAATTTGTAATCTGTTGTAACATGTAACGTTAATTCTCTTTTAGAGTGATTAGCAATTGGATGTAGGGTCTTTTGATCCGAACCAGTATAAAATACTTGTGTAATCTTCTCATCCTTTCTCTATTTACATTACAAGTATTTTAATCGGTGAAATTTTGGGAAAATTTTCAAAACCCTAATTTTTTATAAGAAAGTAATTCACCCCCCCTCTTGGTTTTTGTCCCTAAACGCGAACATTCCGCTGTGCGATTCTAATAACTTTGAACATTCAAGTTGGAAGGATAGAGACAAGAAAGATGAGGATGTTACTTCTAGTAGTTCCACACCTATTCCTTCAAAGACTCCTTCAAAATCCCAAGAAAAATGCTCTAAAAGAAATAGAGATGTGAAGTGTTTCAAGTGTCAAGGCCTAGGATACTATGCTTATGAGTGCCCTAACAAAAGGTCCATGGTTCTTAGAAAGGAAGAATATATAAGTGAATCTGAGGTTGAAGAGGGAGAGGAGAGTGAGGACATTGAGGAGGAGGAGATGCTGAAGGGAGATTTATTGATGATTAGACGATTACTTGATAACCAATTGAAGCCTATGGAAGAAAGTCAAAGAGAAAACATCTTTCACACTTGATGTTTAATAAATGGCAAGGTGTGCATGATAATCATAGATACGGGTAGTTGCACCAATGTGGCTAGTGATAGATTAATGTCAAAGTTAAATTTAGCTACCAAACCACACCCTAGGCCATATAAACTTCAATGGCTTAGTAAGAATGAAGAGGTGCAAGTGAGGCAGCAAGTTGAAGTGGACATTTCTATTGTAAAATACAACGATAAGGTGCTTTATGATGTTGTTCCTATGAGGTCAATCACTTAATTTTGTGGAGACCGTGACAATTTGATAAAAGAGCCAATCATAACGGGTTCACGAACAAAGTCTCTTTCATGAACCAAGACAAGAAGATTGAGCTCAAACCTTTGAGTCCACAAGAAGTGTGTGATGATCAAAAGAAAATGAG